GTGTTCAGCTCACGAGCCATTTTTCGGTCACTGCGACGATGGTTTCGATCAAGTCGCTTCATTCCTTTTCGAGCCATTTCTGCTGATGTTGCTGTTTTCTTCCGTCCACTTTCTTGACGTCGGGCTACGCTACCAGTATCACGGTAACGAGTGAGACACAACAGATTTATTCACAAATAAATGCTGGAGTGCTCTAAGGATGGCCACTTGTGGTTTTCCAGACAAATATAAAGAAATCACACCATCACGCTTGAATTCCATCACGAATAACTTTTTTCTGTAAAATTCTCACCGAAATGTTTTTGTACTCTTCTAAATATAATATAATTAGCTGTAACAGGAATAATTTAAAATTCTGTTGGACGAGTGGCTTAGAAATGACAACAGTCTGAAGTTGGTTCCGAATTTTCATCTCACCCTGTATAAGTATCCCATGGAAGGCTATTTAGGAGTATTTGTTTATGAATTATTAATGCTATCAGCAATGATTTCTATACCCTCAGCAATATGGCCACTGAGAGTATATATCATTTGATACGGCCAAAACGTACCTCATTGAAATAACGGTTTTAGACCATAGGTTTCTTTGGACGAAATCCGTTTCTGGACATTTGGAGTCGATCTAGCGATGTCCGTCCGTCCGTCTGATCGAGTCTTAGATCGAGTTCGCAAATGGGAAATGGGCATCGATCCACTCCTTTTGGTACCTCCCCCCAAAAGGTCGAAAATTGAAAAAAAATTAATGCATAGGAAGAGAAGGGATAATCCGATTTTCCTCCAACTTTGCAAATCCTAATATTTGCGATAGTGCTAGGTCAGATCAAAATGTTAAATAATTATAACTCTTATAAAATGTGATGTAAGAGTCCGATTGTCTTCAAATTACACACATCACAGTATTTTTATAAACTCTGGTGTAAAGATGGAATATACCGGTCTTCTGATTCTGGTATCTCCCCCAAAAAGGTTCAAAATTTTGAAAATCCATGAAGCTCTTAAAAACGAAATGAACATACGAATTGGACAATACTGTCCAACTGCTTCGGAACCTCTCCCATAAAGGGTCAACAGTTTGAATAATCATAAATCAAGGCTGGGGATTTACATCTGTCGGAAAAACCGACTGATACTATTTAACTTGTTTAAGTATATTTTAAGGAATTATTGTGAATTTGATGGTGAGTTTAATTTATTGAGTTTCGAGAACAAGTGAAATAAGATAATACAACAAAATAATGTGAAACATCCGGTGATTGGTATATAGTATTATTGTTGTAGGATTGTTGAAATATTATAATCGACTTTGAAAACATGGTTTAATTGTGGATTAAAGTTGTCGTTTTTATGAATTATTAAAGAGAATCTCAGAACTGTCATTTTAGATTTTTTTTCAACGCATTTTGTTGTACAATGTATTTAATATATCCCCAATTTTAGTTAACGTATCACAAGTTGAGAAAATTCAAATTAACATGCATACACATATGGACAAGCTTTGACGAAATCATTACGCTTAAGCCCCTACACTTTCCACACAGTCGAGCTCAAGTGCAGCACAAAAAAAAATAATAAATATCCAGTTACATTTATTTTTGGCAAATTTCATTACGGCTTCTAGAATATAATGGCTTTAACATATAAACGCTATTTAGATATAATATTGAATTTTTTATGAGTTCCATGTTTTAAGTACTGAGAAATAAACGGGTCAAGGAAAATACTCATTAATTTAAATAATTTAAGATATTAAAAAAAAACAGCAAGTGAAAATTGGATTTAGTTTACCAAGTATAAGGCAATGAAATTAAAGAAAAAATTTGACAGAGTACATATAAATGCATTTGTGGTTGAAAAAAAGTCAAGTGACTACTAAAACCTTTTAAAATACTACCGAGATTTATAAGACATATATAAAACATATAGTTGAAGCTTGTATTTTCCTTGTACCATATACTGAATTTTTCTCTAAATATGTTCATTGAAGTTGGAATTTATCTAAAATAGTCATAAAATAATTTAAAGCCATAAAGATATGTTCAGATTAAACAAATATTTGTGAAATCCTCGAGACAACTCACTATTGAGGAATTGTATGATAAATAAGGAGAAGTTAAAATACTTAAAATATTTATCATAAAATGTTTACAAATCAATACCATGTGATTAAATATTTAATCAATTTGAACATTTCTGAGGTTTCAATTGAATCTACTGCTATAATTGATTAATAATTGTTAAAATTTATTATTATAATAGATATTTATAACACTGTGCAAACAAATTTTATCTGAAAATCTGGAAAGGCATACCAGTCATGATAGAAGTGTGTATGTTATTTTTTGGTGGTGGTAATGTTATATATTTCAAATTTCAGGGTGTATCGACATCAAGATTAATAATCTTTGAGGAGATAATGCCAAAAAGAATCTTATTCTTTATCAAGAGTTTATTTGAATAGGGATAGGACGTTTTCGACGTATGCATTAAACGTAAATAAGCTATAGTTTCAGACAGTCATCTTTGTTGCCAGTAAAAATATAATAAAACGAATTGAACCGATTGAGCCGATTTTTCTTTTTTTTTTTTTTGAAAATCGAGTATAACTTTGACCACAACGTTTTCGAAAAAAAAAAAAAATACCCAATAAAGTCTTTGAACAAAAGTCGATTCCAAACCGTTAATCGTTTCGTCATCAGCTTTTCAATGTATGCGTGTGGGTCTGCCGTGCTTGTTTACATACGGAGCTGACGGTGCCTGGCCTCTTTCAAGAGGATGTTCCACCATTTTAACAATAAAGCGAGTCACCAAAGACTCCCTTCTGACCTAAACGCACGGAAATAGTATATATCTAAAACACATTTTACGATTAAAGCCGCACTTTATGTGAATTTATGAAAACATCACTTGCAAAAGCATCTTTCCAGAAAAATTACGTCAATAAAATATTATTTATTAAATTTCACGAGGCACCGAAGAAATCTCTAATTTCCATTGTTTACCAAAAAAAAAAAAAAAAAAAATCATAATTTGTTAATTACTGTTTCGGTTCTTCTGACGACAGAAGACCGTCACGTGGTATTCTATAGGAAAAAGACCTTTAACAGGTCTACCATATACAGAAGACCTTCCGCAGTTCTTCTAAAGGCGGAAAACATAAGACAAGTTTTCCATATACAAAACACAAACAACATATATTCTACAGTCGAATTACGTCAAAAGGCCTTCTAAAGTAAAAATAACCCCAAGATGTGTTCTATAGACAGAAGACGTCAACAGTAATTCTATAGTCCTCGAGTGGTCTTCCATAATAAGAAGACCTTTAATAGTTCTTCCATAGACAGAAGACCTTCAGCGTGTCTTCTATAGGCAGAAGGCCTTTAATAGTTCTTCCATAGACAGAAGACCTTCAGCGTGTCTTCTATAGGCAGAAGGCCTTTAACAGACATTCCATAGACAGACGACCTTAACAAGTATTGCATAATCAAGAGATATTTTTTCAATAGTCAGAAGACCATCAAATGGTTTTCTGTAGGATGATGACGTCTTCGGGTCTTCTATAGCTCGGAAGCCATTTATAGGTCTCCTATAAAGGGCCCTCCATAGACCTAAGGCATTTAGCTGGTCTTATATGGGCGGAAGGACATTATGTGAAAGACCTTTTACGGGACCTTTTCTAGGTTGACAAACATTAACAGATCTTCAGATAAATATCGTTTTAACGGTCTTCTGGAGACTAAAGATCATTTAATGATCTTTCATATATATATGGAGATATCTTCCATAGATGGAAGACCTTTGTCAAGATATGTTGTGAACCTCCTCTCTAGGTAGATCCTCTATAGGTAGAAGATTTTTAACACATTTTTCTGCCAGAGCGATGTTCTTCGTCAGGGAGGTAAAACCGTTTCAATATCCCATAGAGAGAAAGAGGTCCTTATCCAAGCCTTAATTCAAAGTGTTGCAAATGATAACAATATGTCGAAATTTTATATAGAACTTCGTCCGTCCGTCCGTCTGTCTGTCTGCACGTTAACTTTCGAAGGGTACAAACTTGCTACATCGTAACATTATTATCAGACTTAGATCGAATTCGGTCCACTCCATCTGGTACCTACCCCACAAAAGTCGAAATTTTTAATACCCATGAAGCTCATAAAACACGAAATTGACCTCCAATTCCATTCGGACTTGGCACATCTCAATATTTCTATCAACACTAGATCTGTTATAAAGATGGTAGACTTCAGACAATTCCTTCTGGTACCTCCCCCACAAAGGGTTGAAGTTTTGAATAACCAAAACGATCATAAAATCCGAAATAAGCATCGGGTTCTCTTTATATTTCACACATCTAATTATTCTGCCAACACAAGGTCTGCTGTGAAGATGGGGTATATCGGTCTATTCCTTCTTTTACCTCCCCCCACAAAGGGTCAAAATTTTGAATATCCGTAAAGCTCATAAAACGTCAAATTAACATCCAATACGAAATTGACAATATTGGCACATTCCTTCGGAACCATTCTCCATGGGAGGACAACAACTCGAATAATCATAACAGAAGTCAACAAATATTTAAAAAATCGAACACTGTCTGAGGTTGTACATATGTCGGCAAAACCGACTGATACTTTTTAACTTATTATAGAACATTTTGATATTGATTTTCCGGTTGATAAAAACTTAGTTTACCAAGTTACTTTTAACAAATATATAACAACACCCACAAACATAACATGCACTATGGGATTACCAGCTACGAATTGATCAGGTCATAATCTAAGAGTTGGTTCTTTTTGGATTTTCAGAAAACTTCTATCAATGGAATTTCCCAACCACAAAATGAGGTTGTAAAATTCCTACATTCCTTGGATTTATGTACATATGTATTGTTCACTAACCTGTTGCACAGTGTAAATTAAAGTACTTCAAAATGTTTTATTTTATTAACTATTTTTCTCTTAATTTTTCTCTCTCTCTTTCCCTCTTTTCTCAAACAGGCATTCCTCTACTACAAGAAGACAGTCCAGTTCATCAGCCCGGCATATTTGCATTGCAATAAAATTTATTTACTTCGTCAATAAACAAATACAACAACAATAATAAGTTCAAAACAATTCAAAGAAAGAAGAAAAACACAAAAGAAGACAATTTTTATGATGTGTGTAAACAAAAACAACAACAAATCAGGTTTTCTTTTTTGTAATGCGTTTTAAAATTAAATCAAGAAAAAACAAATTAAAGCTTCTAGAACAAATCTCAATTAAATTATTAACATTTTGCCAATCAAAAGAAAAGAAATTCGCAAAAAAAGAAATTCAAATTTATTTTTAGAAGGAAGAAGATTTTTATAGGTCCCTGTTTTGTGAGACACGAACAATTAAAAAAAAAACAAATCTATTTAAAAGGTCATATTTCCTCTTGAAATAACGAATTTCAAGAGAGAACAATTTCTGGTTGGGGTTGCCTGCCAGTTGTTTCCCTTCCTTAAAACCAAATAGCTAAGTTTTTGCCTTTACAAACAGTTAAGAATATTTTACACATTTTAATTATTTGGATTTTTATTGTTATTTGCTCAAAGGCATTTTGAAACTCATTAATATCCTCAAACTCAGATCCTCAATAATAGCACCAATTTTAAAAAGACTTGAACAAAGCAATATCAAAAAACTATTTCAAAACAAAAAAGATATTCATAAGAACTCAACAGTTTATAGATTCTAACACTGACACCAGATTTACCATAGCCTCACACACACACACACTCACACCCACACATTTTGACAATACCAACAACCGTTTAGAGGGATGCGTGATTAAGGTCTAAGACATTTATAAATAATTAAAAAAAAAAAAAATAAACAAAACATGAACACTTTTCAACATTGAACTCCCCCAACCCTCAAAGGATAACCACAAAGCAGAAGATTAGTTGTGGGGAAAAAATAGGCAATATTAACTTAGGAAAGGAAATGATATAGAATAGACAAAATATTTAGACAGACAACACCTGAGGGAGTAAGTCCAACTTATTACTTTAGGCGTTGAGTAGCAATGAGATTCAGTTAGAAAGTCCTCAATGTAAAAGGCAAACCAAAAAACCAAGGGAAACAAGTCCACATTGTCTGTAAACCAAGTAGTTGGAAAATATAGAAATTACCAAAACCAAAAAAAAAACAGCAATACTAGTATTTTTAGGAACAACTAAAATTAACAAAGAAATATTTAATAAAACAACAAAACAAACAACATTTTTTGGCTACCAATACCAATTGAATGTAATATAAAACCAAAAGAAACAATAAAATCCCCCCATCACTCGTCTCGCCTCTGTTTTTTTTCTTCTCCCTTAAAACAAAAATATAAAACGCTAACAAAAAATTATAACCTATTAACACACAAACATACATACATCAAGAAAATTACAAATTCTCTAAAGAAATAGTAAGAAATCGAGAAACAAAATTTATATATTTAACTTGGATTATGCTTGGAAAGCTTAAAAACAAATAAATAAAATAAAATTTTCAAACAAAAAAGGAAAAGGCTTAGCAAAATTTTAAATTAAAAACAATTTGTTTTAATTTCACATTCACCCACCCACACACACACTCACACATACAAAGACAATTCATTAAACGTCGTCATCGAATCGCCCTAAGTTGCCATCATGAAGAAGAGCAATACCGCCAACACAATTCTGTCTTCATTGCCGACCAGTCCGACCATGTCGGCCCATCACACATACACCGGCGGCAGCAAGGCCAGCCTGCACAGCAGTCGTTCCAGCCGATCGTCAATAAATCATTCAACAGCAAATATCAAGAGCAATAAAATCGATTTGGAAATCGAAACGATTTTGGAAAAGGCGAAATTCTATACATCGGTTTGTTTGGGTAAGTATTGGGAGCATTAAACAATATATAAATAAATAGCAGTAAGTTTTCCCGACCCGAAATTTTAATACCCTCCAAAAATTAGAACGAATTTGGAAATTTTCAAAAAAAAAAAAAAAATTGTTGTAAATTCAGTTAAAATTTTAAAAAACACCGAATACAGGGAGTTACCGTAATTTTAGTGTCTATGCGAAGACCTGGACCTGCATAGCCAATTTTCTGTAACAGGATGTAGTATTAAAATTTGAAAGAATTCTGGTAAATAAATTCGCTGAAATCAGCAAAATGCCGAATATAGGGAGTTTCCATTATTTTGGTGTCTATACGAAGCCCTGAACCTGCATAGCCAATTTTCTGTCACAGACATATAATTTTATGCTGATCAAGAATATATATACAATGTCGAGTATAAATGTATATTTTGAGATGTTACAAACGGAATGACAAACTTAATATACCCTCCATACTATGGTGGAGGATATGATAAAAATAGGACAAAAGTCCGATGCGGCCGACTATATTATACCCTACACCATCAAGACGAAAGGTACCAAAGGTTTATCCTGAGAATATCTGATATCTTGCTCCAAATACCATAGTTGTGGGGGACTTAAATACCATATCGTATGAAACTTATAGATGGGAGCTACAATATCTGAACCAAATTTTACAAAAGTACGAATAAGTATAAATCAAATCAATTTTTTCAAAATGTTGGCCTTTTGTAGGGGAATGTACATGGATGAGTGGACCAATATCGTCCATTTTCACATACGACTTAAGCTACCGGCTAAACCTAGATAATCGAAATTTTGCACGAGCGCCAGTCTTGGTACATAGATGTGTAATAAGACTGGGATTTTGGACATTCGTATAAAAAAGGTCAAAAAGTTGGGTACAGAAATTTGGAATGGGAGTCAATTACGGAATGCAGGATATATGTACCAACGGGTATTTATGGAAATTCGAACTTTAAGTTTACGAAAAGCTCTAAAAATTACTTAACTTCTAAAATGATACCATTTGGTATTATGTGAACGGATAGAGCTTAAATATTCAAACTTGGTATGAGAAAAGAGGTTGGAAAGCAAGTTTGATATGGGAAAGTGGTTTTGGAAATGTGTACTAAGTGACGGAACTGTACCAAAGCATACTAAATTTGGAATAGTTTAGTTTAGTGTGAACGGATGAAGCTCAAATTTTGAAATTTTGCATTGGGGTCCCTGTTCGTAGTAGATTCGTAATAAAGAGGTGATTTTAGAAATGTGTACTACAATCGTACGAAAAGTACTAAATAGTACTATGTTTGGTACAATTTGGCTTGGGGTGAACATATAGTGCTTGAAATGTAAAATAAAATTAAGATATTTAGATTACTGCTGGTATTGGTGATTGAGATTTGGCGATGCTTGGAAATTCGTCCTTAATTTATACAAAAAATACTAAATTGTACCAAATCTGGTATTCGGTAAAGGGATAGGGCTGGAATCATCAAATTTCATATTGATGTCTTTGTTAGTATCTGGAATTAAGGCATGAGGATGGTTTTGGAAACGTGTACTATAATTGTACGAACAGGGGTCCCTGTTTGCGGTAGGTTAGTGGTGGTGGATGGAGCTGAAATTGCGTTTGTAAATGTTGTCCAAAAAATAATGAGCAAATAGTGTATTTTGAGTATCAAAAAAATCATCGAAGTTTCAAGAAAATCGGAGAGACATTTTACCATTGAACATCTTGACCTTTTATTGGGGTGGTACAAGGAAAAATGGGTTATTACTGTATTTTCTAAGTATTATGATGTACCGAGTTTGAAATATGTCGGATACTCTCTATGCTCAACGAGCTCGACCTAAGTTTCCAAAAAAATACAAGGATCTACAATGTTAGAATCGAATTGGCTATTCCCTTTAAGAGTTTTCGTGCGCGCAGCTAGAGGACAAAATTTCGTCCAAAGAGACCTTACGTCTAAAGAATTTATTTCGATGATGTAAATGATGATACATACCCTCTGTAGCCACAAGCTGAGTGTGTCAGAAAGGTATTTTTCCGATTAAAAAACTTCTCAATTAATTATAGAACTATTTTGGAAATTCGTACTTATGTTTACACATTATAGAACTTTTCGGACCATTAAAGTAAGCAATGTCGAGTTAACTTAATAAAGTGAAGTACCGAAAAGTTTATCGTATTCTGCAAGTATGTTATGTTTGCAAGCATGTGGGTCAACGAATTTTTTTTATGTGAAACTTTAAGTTTTTGGTGACCATGTAAGTCCAGGTTTTCGAGTAATCCTCATTTAAAGGCACTTCCTGATATTCAGTATTGTTTTTTATTCAGTCAGCTTTCTTAATGGAATTCTCTAAAATTCGGTATTAGAAAACAGTAATGAAAACCAATCTATCTTTTAATAAATAGCTAGGTCCACCTTCTCGTACAGCCCCTATCCTATCTCAAATAAAGTACAGGAAGTAGTCGATATAGTCCACATCTGTCACGTTGTAATATTTATATCGGTCCTAGGTCAGATACAAATTGGCCAATATTGGCCAACTCCTTTGGACCCTCCCCATAAAGAGCCCAGAGTTTGAATAATCATAAGTCTAGGCTGGTGGTATACATCTGTATTTTAACTGTTTAGTGTAATTTCGTATGATTTTCCGAAAACATGTATGTGTAGTTTGTCTCTAATATGTGAGTTCGGAGTACAAATCCCAGAGGAATAACTCTTAAAACCTTCGGAACATCAAAAATTCACAAAAGTGTGAAATAAATCCTGAAATTGTGAAGGAATCACATCTCTGCTCGTAGCATCATTCGGTCGAATAATATTTTTGATACTAAGTCCAACTGTACCCTTCCTTTCTGTCAAATCAACATTCTTAAGATATGTAATTTACTCTTTAAGTAGAGAACAAAAATATCTTCTCCTTAACTCATTTAATATTTATTTTGTTCTTTCTATTTCAGGTACCACAGCCATTTTATCGGTTTTCACTTTTCTATTCCTAATACCATTCGTTGTTGATCCAGCAATTTCTACGATCATTGCTGATTATGATCCCGTACCGGTGACCTGTATTGTCATCGAACACATTCAGGCTGCGGGAATTAAGAATTGTACCTGGAGTTCATGTCGAGAGGGCTGTACATCATCGCCGAATAAGTAAGATTCCATCAAATATGATTCTCATTGTAAACGTCCATAAACGTGTGATCCTTTTTCGTTCAGATGTCATCAACTGTATGTTAATTACACCCGAATTCCATTCCATGAATGGGAGAAAAATCCCCGCGACTTGGAGACCGTAATCTGGGATGTTAGTTTTACAAGATTTCTCATTAACTCGGAAGGATGTGGCTATCCGCCAACAACGAATTGCAGTGTTTTCGCCCAGCAGTATGGGTATGGATGATCAATGCTGACATGCAGTCGATTGAGTAACCCATTTTCATTTGAATATTTTCCAGTTTTTCACACATTGGCGAACCATTCCCTTGCTATTACAGTCGTGCCTATCCAGAGGTAGTTATCGGTCGCTATTCGTGGGAGAACAATTTAGTCCATTTGCTGTTGTCATTGATAATACCGACGGTCCTGTTTGCCTTATCGATTGGTGTTCTCAGCTATTGGTATTGTCCATGCTGTGACAATGCCTGCAATAAATCGTCAAGGGTCTATGCGGAAAAATTCCCCACAAAGGAAGAGTGAGTGCAAAAAAGAACAATTCAATCAAACACCCCCTCAAAAATGCATAACTATCCCCAAAAGTTCTAAAAATCAAACATAAACCCCCTACCTACAACACCTCTTACTTTCAACTCTCAACTACTCTGTCAAGAAATATGGCCAACCCAAAAACCCTCATCCTAACAAAACCACAAAAATTTCAAATTTTGAGAAACATAGAAAAATCGAATTAGTTAATTGTGTTTTTAAGTTGTTTTCAAAAATTTAATTTTTTTCTAAGTAATTTACAAATTAAGAAACAAATGGTTATGAGGTCAAGCAATGAAAAATCACAAGAGAAACAATAGCTTTATTCCTTTACTATTTAAATTGTGGAACTAGTTAAAGGGAGAAATGTGAATTACGCTCTGAGAGCACAATTTTTAAGATAAAATACGGAAAATCATCTTGAAATTCTTCACAATTTACACATCAGCCAATCAAAAACTGACAACCATTCTAAAGGTAGCAATTATGCCCAATCCTCCAGAAATTTAGCAATGAGGTGGGGTTGGGTTCAGAAGAGAGCGCTATTGTTTTTAATCGCAAAATATTTAGGGGTTGAAATATACCAAAAGCAGAACCATTTCTCTACAGGACGCGGACTAAAGTTTAGGGCTGGGCGGTCCACATTTTGATGTAATGATGCGAACATCTTCACTAATCGCGAATACTTTTAATCCTGGCGGAAACATATAAAAACACATTAAAGCATCCATTTAATGGTATCTGCCAATATTTGGTATTTTAATAATTTATGTGGTATTTTTCATTCGGATTGGATTGAATAGGATCGATATAATATTATCGCCCAATACTCGTTGTTTCATCATTTTTGCGACATTTGACCCCTGATGAAATTTGACACAGATCATTTAAATGAATACGTGTCTCTCATTTCTTCCGCAGTAAGGAACTTTTGTCGTACGTAACTCGGCTAACTTATAATCGAATAAAAGTTTTCGGCATGGAAACGAAATCGACTTTAAATTACGGTAAAGGTCGGAAAGTCGCCTTTTATGGCTGATTTTGCGATACTAGATTACGGTCATATTCATAGGAGCCAGAAACTATGCAACGATTCCTATGTTTATACCCTACACCACATAGTGGTAAGGGTATTATGTCTTTGTGAATCGATTTATGCATGTCAGTCCGTTTTGTCCGTCAGCCCGTCTCTCAATGCAGATCGCATTTATTATCCGATTAAGATGAAATTCTTCAATTAATATTTGTTTGGCCCAAGGACGAACCCTATTGAAATTGGTGAGAATCGGTTAAAATTTAGATATAGCTCCCATAAATATCTTCAACCTATATGGGGTTTAAGTCCCTCACATGCGTAATATGCACTCCACAACAATGTCTAAACTTTTGTCTACATCGTCATATCATCACAAATGGAGTGAAATGTGGCACTTCCGACTGAATTCAGTTTAAAAACAAGTAAAAAAGCTGTAAGTTCGGCCGGGCCGAACTTTTAATACCCTCCACCATTTGGTACAAATTTGGCAATTTCCAAAAAATAAAACCCGTTGAAAATTCTGTTAAAATCTTAAAAATACCGAATGCTTATACGACGACGTGGGCCTGCATAGGCAACTTTTGTCATAAATTATTACAATATTTAAATGCGAAACTTGAAGAAAAATCTGTTTATAATGTAGCTAAAATCATCAAAATACCGAATATGGGGGGTACCGTTATACGAAGACGTGGACCTGCACAGACAATTTTCTGGCATGGGCTGAAGTATCCATTACGAACTTCACATACGAAATTTGAAACAATCCCTGTAAATAAAGTCGCTAAAATCATTAAAATACCGAATATCGGGGGGTACCGTTATATGGGGGCTATATGAAGACGTGGAACTACATGGCTCATTCTTTGACTTTGGATGAAGTATCCATTACGAACTTCAAATACCAAATTTGAAACGATTCCGGTAAACAATGTCGTTAAAATCATCAAAAAACCGAATATCGGGGGGTACCGTTATATGGGGGCTACAGGAAGAAGTGGACCTGCACATATAATTTTCTGTCTTAGGCTGTAGCATCCATTACAAACTTCAAATGCCAAATTTGAAATAATTCCGGTTAATAATGTCGCTAAAATCATCAAAATACCGAATATCGGGAGGTACCGTTATATGGGGGCTATATGATAACTTGGACCTACATGGCCCATTTACGAACTTAACCTGCCTACTGGGAAAAAATACATGTGTGCAAAATTTTAGCCTTCTATCTCAATTTGTTCGAAAGATAGCGTGATTACAACAGACAGACAGACGGACAGACAGACGGACAGACAGACACACACACAGACAGACAGACAGACGGACATGGCTAAATCGTCTTAGAATTTTACGCTGATCAATAATATATATACTTTGTTGGGTCTGACATGAATATTTCGAGGAGTTACAAACGGAATGACAAAATTAATATACCATCCATAGTATGGTGGAGGGTATAATAAGTACATGAAATTTGGTGAAAATCGGTTTAGATATAACTATAGCCCTTATATATATGTTTCATCCGATTTGATGTTTAAGTTCCTCACATGCGTAATATGCACTTCATAGTGATATTTGATACCGGACATCAGATACACGTCGAATATACCTTTGCAAAATTTTATCGAGATCGGTTCAGATTTTTATGAACCTTCAAAATACATCTTCATACGATTTTACGGTTATTGCTCACAATATATGTAATAACAGCCAAAATGGGTTAGATTTTTCCATATTTAACCGAATTTTTTCATTTGGTGAAATTCGGCCTCGGTATATCTATTGCTCCAATAAATATTTTTAATACAATTATTATCGAAGACATATCATATGCTATACAGCAATGCTGTTTGGTACTAGAGGTACAAAAGCCTCCGTTAAATTTTTAAAAAATCGATTCAGAGTTGGATATTTTTTTTTCCCAAATTGTGACTACTCTAAAGCCATGATATGCACTCAAATAAAGTTCATTGTTGGTATGATCTAATTCCCAAAATAAACTTTTTTGTTACGGAAGCTCTATTAAATACCCGTAGTGTTGTAGGGTATCATATTTTCGACCGCCCGACTTTTGACCTTTCCTTGCTGGTTTTAAAGAAATTCTTGTAAAGAATTATGAATTTTAGGAATATTTTTCAATGACAAAGACGGATCCAAATCTAGGATTTTGAACATTTTCGCATGGTCTTTCCGGACAAAACTTGTGGATTTTGTAAGAACATTTTTAATGACTTCTTAAAATATAAGGCAATTCAAAGACATTTTGCTAAAATAAATGGAGGTCTTTTTATTAGGACTTATTTCTCAAGAACATCCGGGATTTTGGATATGCATCTTCTTCTATATCTATAAAAGAGGAAAATGTTTGTACGTTTGTTTGTTTGTTTGTTTGTTTGTTTGTAATTTATGGACTCGAAAACTGCTGAATAGATTTTTCTGAAAATTTCCATATATACTGCAACATCGCCTGAAAGTAACATAGGCTATATACATTTTTGAATTTCCACTTGGAACTGGAGATATAGCATCAGAATCGGAGGTACCTCCCAAAAATTTAGATTTTATATGCACATATCTATTGATCGGTTAAAGACACAGTCTCCAAATTTGGAATGTGTAACGGAATTTGGAACAAAAATAAGTTTGCTAAATTATATTGTAATCGGTTCAGATTTGGATATAGCTCCCATATATATTTTCGACCGATTTCGTTCATTTGATGCCTCAAACACAATATGAATGTTCGATTCCAATGAAATTTGGAATATGTGACGGGATTTGATCCGAAAATAAATTTGTCAAATTATATTGAAATCGGTTCAGATTTGGATATAGCTCCCATATATATTTTCGGCCGATTTCAAGCATTTGATGCACCAAACACGCTATGTATCCCCAATTTCAATGAAATTTGAAACGTGTGATAGATTTTATCTAAAAACATTTATTTCCCAAATTATATTGAAATCGGTTCAGTTTTGGATATAGCTCCCATATACATTTTCGGCCGATTTCATGTATTTGGTGGACCAAACAAGATATGTATGTCCAAATTTAATGAAATTTAAAATAAGTAACGGAATCGGGAGCAAAAATTAATTTTTCAAATTATATTGAAATCGGTTCAGATTTGGATATAGCTTCCATATATATTTTCGACCGATTTCATGTATTTGATGCACCAAACACGCTATGTATCTCTAATTTCAATGAAATTTGAAATGTGTAGCGGAAATTAAAACAAATATACATTTGTCAAATTATATTAAAATCGGTTCAGATTTGGATGTAGCTCTCATATATATTTTCGACCGATTTCATGTATTTTATGCACCATACACGATATGTATGTTCGATTTCCAAGAATTTTGGAATATGTAACGGGATTTTGATTAGAAAATAAATTAGTCAAATTATATTAAAATCGGTTCAGATTTGGATATAGCTCCCATATATATTATCCGCCGATTTCACATATTTGATGCACATTTGACAAATTATATTCAAATACGCTCAGATGTGATTATAGCTCCATATATATACTCAGCCGATTTCACATATTTGATGCACCCAAAGCGAGAGAGACAAAATCTGGCACCAGCAAAAATTGCACAATTATATCGAAATCAGTTGAGGTTTGGATATAGCTAACATATATATTTCGGCCGATTTCATACATATTATGCACCAAACACGATATATATGACCGATTCCAATGAAATTCAGAATGTGTGGCGGAATTTTGTTATAATAATAAATGTGATAAATTAATTGGAAATTAGTTAAGATTTGGATATAGCTCCCATATATATCTCGGCCGATTTCACATATTTGACGCACCAATTTCAATTAAATATGAAAGGTGTGGCGGAGTTTGGTGTAAAAGTAATTTTTTTTAAATTATATTTAAATCGGATCAGATTGGGATATGATTTTAATAAGAACCATTGA